CAGTTTTTGCATTCGCACGGACTTAATGATGATTTGTACAAGTGTTTATGATGAGCAGAAATTGGGAAAGGCAAAATATATACCTTCTATTAAAATAAAGAGTGGACAACACCTATGATAAAAAAAGTTAAGGATGGAAAAAAAAATAGTTATATGGAAAACAAAATAGTTATATTTTTCTCCTAACAATATTGTACACCGTAAAGTTTTTAAAATATACAAAACTTAAATACAAACGTATTTAAGTTTATGTATATACCACGTCAAAATACAGTCATGGATATATTTAACCGAATTACTGCTCGTTTTACGGATTTAGACATTGTACACCTTTCAACATTTGAATTTAGAGCAGCTGTTATGGAATTACTAAGCACCTAACACGATTAACTGGAATTTGGAGTTTAGAACACGTCTTCCAATGGTATTATTAATATCTTATTTTCAACATATTGTAGATAAGTGGCAACACGTTATGATGTTGTAGGTAGTATATAATTTTGTATAAATTAGTAATAAGACCGTTGTTACTAGCTTTGTACCTACTGCTGTTTCTTGTCCAATAAAATAAAATAAAATTAAATTAAAATATTTTTGTCGAAAGATTCTGTGGAATTTTAATTTATTTGATTTAAAGATTTTATCGATCTCCAATAAATTAATAGCAACGATCGACAAAATTTGAGCATATCTATTGGCACCTTGTGATGAACACACTAAAAAAGTTTCAATTATGATAACAATGTTCGCATGAACCATAAACACCGGAACGTTTAATTTGAAATAGAATGATCTCAATCTTCTTTTGATTTCGATTAACGATTTTAGTATAATTGGCCAGTTTTATTTGAATGTCGCTATCAATTTAACCTTCTTTAGCGCTCCTCTGAATATGTCCATGATTATTTAGTACATTATTGCAGAGGGAAGTAAGGAATTGCTGGCGAGGAAGCATTAAAAACTGCACGAAGTTTAGTAGTTGTAGACTCCTCTCGATGTACACCATGATGTGGCAAGTAACACATAGGCTCTTTGCGCTCTTTGCATTCTACCATGCACCCTAAATCTTCGTACAAATACAAAACAATGATTTAACTGCGTCTGTAGCCAAACCTGTTACCATGTTACCATGCTGGACTGCCACACAAAGGTCCCGGGTTCGATTCTTGGGCCGGGAGAAATATTTGTATGCCTACATTTATTTCTCTCGTGAGTTTGGGTGTAAAAAGTTTTTGTAAAAAAGATTTATAAAAAAAACAAATTCCGCGATCTCAAACGGAGATGTTATCTTCTCTATACGTATTTGGGTGGTGGCGCCAGTGACCGACAAGCACCACTTTTCCAAATTCATTTCTAATAAGATTTCGGGCAAAATTTTCTATCATAGTAACACGTTTCTTATTGGAAGTGTTAATTACTGCGTGTTCATTATTGGTGAGTGTCGATTATTGGTTAGTTAATTATTGGATTTTTGGTATTAATTAATGGAGATTTAGAGAAATTCTTGTTTAGGTTTTTTTTGTAATAAATAAAATATATACTAATATGTTTCATAAAAAATCTTTTTTACGAAACATACTGGAGTAAAAAAATATTTCTTGAGGATTATATCTGTCAAGTAAACTCGCTATTCATAATATGTTTAGAAACAAAAAGTTATTTCAAATTTCAAGACTGACTTCCCTTAGAATGTCGATCATTAGTACCATCACCCTATTTACTTGCAGTTTAGATAAACATACTACATACTATTGTAATCTCTGTCGATAAGAGAAGTGAGTGACTAGGTTTGATCAAATATATGACTGATATATAAATATCTGAATCATTTGCCAACCGGCTGCGTGAAGCGCTACTATTCCTGTGAACTCTGTTCTGTTAAAATACACTCTCACTCTTTGAAATACACACGAGTGAATGTGCACTCACATACGTGTGCACGCGCACGCGCACACACACACACACATACACACACACACACACAGAGAGAGAGAGAGAGAGAGAGAGAGAGAGAGAGAGAGAGAGAGAGA